TCCTTCTTCTACACCCTCCAGCCCCCGTCCCTTCCCTTTTTTTCTTCTTCTATTTTTTTCTTTTCTTCTTCTTCTTCTTTTATTATTATTATTGTTGTTGTTGTTGTTGTTGTTATTGTTGTTGTTGTTGTTGCTGTTAGATATTACGGAGTATTATTTTATTATTTGTAAGTATTTGTTATTAGTATTATCATTATTTATTTATATATTTATTATTTTATTTAAATAGTAGCTTTACTAAGGCCCCATAAAAAATTTGTGTGTGCCCCCATTAACTTTTTTCCAATATTCACTTGCATTAACAAAACATAAAATATCTTAAAGCTTTAATTGAAAATTAGTTTTAGTAATATATTTATGTATAGTTTATAAAATGAAGATTATTTATTCACTTGATTATAAAGTATACGTCGTAATTCATAATAATAATAATAATATGAAATTGAAACTATTTTTATCATTTCATATTATCTTTAAAAAAATCTAGAGGCACTTGCCCGTCTTATTCTCGTTTCAGGTCCTCTCATTTTTAAGATTCACTACTACCAATGACGGTTGTCGATGGCTACTGCATGACTAATGCGAAAGACAACATCAAATGTCAAAGACATTTGAGTAGTAAAACTACTAATAATTTTTTAATAATGATAATAAGTACTATTTTTATAAATAATAATTAGTTTTATTTTCTTAAAAATAGAGTAATAAAACTACTACTCCCTCCGTTCCTTTAAACCCTTCTCATTTAGACTTTGGGTAAAAATAAGGAAAGTGTAATTTTAGTTGACTTTCTAATTTCGCCCCTGATGTGATGGCTAAAAGTAAGATGTGATAGTTTGGTTATTAGTGAAAAAGTATGATGTGATAAGTATGGTATGAAAAAGTAGGGGTAAAAGTGGTTTTTTAACAGAAAATGGAAGTGTTTAAGGGAATTAGAAAAAGTCGAAAGGGAATGGTTTTATGGAACGGAGGGAGTAGTAATTTTTAATAATAATAATAATAAATAAAAATGATTGAAGAAAAAGAAAATAATAAGAAATAGATACTAATTAATACAAAGTAATCATATATATATATATATATATATATCATCACTAGCATGGGACACACTTCGTGTGTGCGCGCGCCCAGATATATATATTTTTACTAAGTAGAAGTATAGTAATATTACACAAAAGAGTGATTGTTACATTACATGAAATATATTACAACCTATAAACTGTATTAGAGGGAGTGAGAAAATTTGCAACTTACTTTGTTCCAAAAGAGTGATGGTTATATTAGATGTAATACATTACAACTTACAAACTGTATTAGAGGGAGTGACAAAATTTGGAACTTATTTTGTTCCTTGTAGCCGGGTGTTAGTAGTAGTAAGTAAGTTTTTAACAAGGGGCTAGGTAGGTATACATGACAAAATGCAGTGCACATGTACTTAACGAAGGTTTCCAAGCTAGCAGGATTTTTTGGGGCTGGGTTCTTCCACTTTCAGCTTTCTCTTAAGGGTTGGACTTGTTGTTTTTTCATCACGGAGGTCGTACAGGCATTGAACTGAGAATGTCTTCGATGCAGATGTTGGTTCGGTGCGAGGTGGTAGTTTCACTGCAGCCGTCACTTTCTTAGATTCAAGAATGTTGTTCAAATCCACGCATTTTATCAACTCCATTGGTGTATTCAATTCAAGTGCTCGTACAATCTTTTCGAGTGTGTCGGTGAAGAGTGTGACTTGTAGAGCACTAACCTCATCTTTTATTTCGGCCATGATTCTGAATCTGTAATGATTTGTAAAATAGTTTAAAGAAATGTATTCATAATGTGAAACCACAGATTCCAAAATAGATTCAGTGCCTTTCGTGGTAAAGAGGAAGTGGTTACCTCTTAATTGTTTTTGCTTCAAGGTCACCACACAGCATGCATTTAAAATTGATTCCTTCTATGTAGTCCACTTTTCTATTGCAACCAATGTATAATGTAATATCTCCAGCTTCTAAGACCTGCAACTGTCCTTCACCCCAGTGGACGTCCTCCTGTATGATTATGTATTATATTTGTATATGTTTAAATTAAAGTGTGACATGCATATTAGAAGTTTCCAGGATGTATCCAGCATATTATGGTCATCTAAATACTATCATTCAGAACATATTGGAAGGAATCCAAAACGCTCTATTCGGTATGTGTTCTCATTTGGTATTAGGACGGGGAGTGAACAGGTCCTTGACAGGTAATACTATGGAGCACTAACTAAGATGGGTTCCATTCTTTTACAGTTTGTTTGATTTCTAAACATGAATTAAGATGACTCTTGCGGTATTGGCCTTGGCTTCTAATCTCTGACCGGTTCACGAAAATGACAATATACAATGGTTTCATTTCTTAAAAAGAACCGGTGCACATCAAACCCTTTCATGTTCCTTTATTTTGTTGTTTCTTTTTTAGTGTGTTTAATGCATGCCCCCATTTATTGTGTTTATTTCATGGAAAATCCTATGGTAAAAAATTTGTGACATTTAGAGTTACATAGTTTATTTGACAAAACAGTTAAAGTAGCATGACAGTATATATATATATATATATATATATATATATATATATATATATATATATATATTACAAGCAGTTAGCGTATAACTTAAATGGAATCCCTTACCCTTTTTTTACTCTAAAGTTTATTATCAGACCTTATATGAGATGCAAACTATTAAGTATGCTATAAGATTGACTACACCTACACAACTCAATCATTTAACTCTTTTTATATTCCCAAATCATTCCGTTAATTTAAACAAAAAACTTATAGCATATGAGAACATGCCCCTTAGTAACATGCCCCTTAGTTTTTTGGCATGCCTAATCAGTACCATATACTGCCCCTTTGTTTCTCTGCCGGTCTATTCCTACATGTAGGTCATTAGATATGCATTTGTTACTATCCTTCATGCAGCAAATCTGGATGGAGTATACTAAAAATGAATTGATATTAACACAAAGACTACACTAGGCATCTGGAAGAGAAAGGTTCAAGAGGCTAAATATGAAGGGAAAAAATTGAAATATTCTATGTATATGTAGTTACTCATTTAATTTATTGATCATTGGTGCAGAGCTATAGAAAGTTTGCTGGGAAAAAAATAATATTAGGCATTGAGGCACCAATCATTTTGATTAATTGGTAATGATTTATTTGTAGAATTGGCCTGTTCTTCATACCAGTAACAAGAGTAAGGGATTGCATTTAAGTTATTTAGCAAAATAAATGAGGGCATCTAGTAAACACACTAAGAATGAAAAAACAAAATAAAGGAAGATGAAACAGAAATGATATATACCTAAGGTCTACCAACACCATGTTTATTTTTTATATTAGGTATTTCCAAATTTTATTGTTCTTAATAATTGCTCTGTAACGTGGCAGTCCAGTTTTCAGTTTTAATTGCTCTGTAACTTCCTTGGTGTGTTTAGACATTTTGTTTTTGTATTCATGTAAAATACTAATTACATGTCAATAGAAAAGAAACTTATATAAGACGTAGGCTGATGTGGTATTGACCTCGTTTTCTGTACTTGCCACTTCAGAGATTGGTGTTGTTTGATTATCTTCAGGCTTTGCAAACAGAGATAAGGGGTCCAGCCATTTTTTCATTTCAATGGCGTGCTCTATGGCAGATGTATTTGAAGACTTCCTGCAAGACACTGAATTAATAAACACAATATATGTTCAAAAGGAATGTTTGATTGAAAAAAGAAAGGATGCTTTACTATTCATCCAAACTTGATGTAGGTGCTATGACTGGGTTCAGCTCGATTGACGAATCCGGTCGTGTTGTTAATGAAAGTCCTAATATAATGATTGTGTTTAAGTTCAGGCGTAAAGGTGTATAGTATGTGAGTATGGGGTATATTGTGTAATGTTAATAATGCTATGCACTTACCTTTGAAAGATGTTGCTGCTATCCTCCTTGCAATTATTGTGGGATAAAAGCCTGATTGCAGTGCCTGCTGAATTGTGCATCCCTGGACTTCTACGAAAGTATCCCACAGTGTCAAAGTGATAGGTTTGCATCTACAAGAATGAATTTTCAAGTTAGAAAACAGTAATATCCAAACCACAGTCCAATAAGGAAAGAAATTGTAGGGTTATAATTACAAAATCAGTTAGCTGGTGCATAAGAGGTCACAATCAGTTAGTTGGTGCACTATAGGCTCATAATTAGTAATATCAGATTTTGGTCCAGAAATTTTAAAAATATAAGCCGACCTGGTTGACAAATGTATTCTACATCCAAAAAGATAAAAATAAAAATAAGGGAACTGAGGTGGGAATGAGTGATTGGGTTTTGTTTTTTTTGAAAAACAAACAGCAACTATTTTTCTTAGGTGATACAGAATATTGTAAGTTAATTTTAAATAACAAAACAGTAAAGGTAAAAAATAGGAATAATGTTATAACGTACTCATGGTCGATGATTATGAAGTCACTTGCCATTTTTTGTCCCTTTTTTGTGAAGACGAATTTGCGCTGTAGTTTGGCAATGACAATTGCAAATACATCTGTAGTTCCATAGGATATAAGAACATAAATATGATGTTAAGTACATATAATTTTAGGGTATATTGTTTTTTTCTTAAACAAAATCTGTGTCACATACTGATCTTTTTATTTGTAAGCATTGCTTTGTAGAACATAGAGAATGGATCCATCTCAGGTTCTGCACTTGGTTGAATTAAGATTTTCTCTTCTGAGCTGACATCGTGTATCATTGTCCTCCGATTAAGTGTCCAGATATTTCTGTAACTTTCATCGGGAACACCAAACCCTTGAATGGCTTGAGAAACCTTTGCGTTGAAAATCTTGTATGTGTTGTTCACTTCAAGCCGCTTGTCAAGAATGATGATATCTTGTCCATAGGTCATTACTTTCACCTTATGGCCCTATGTATAAATTAGATTTATTACTGTGAGAATAAGTGTTTTTTTAAGAATTTGGGTACAAATGTGGGATATGAAATCTTACTTTACTATCCTCCATGATCATGGCCCTGTATGTTACTCCCCTTGCTGATTGACGCTCGTTAAGCTTCTCTATCAGTATGACCAGTATGACCTTGCAACCCCATGATTTAGTACTGGGAGTGACGTCTAAAATTTCTTGATTTGCATCCATTGTTCTGAAAAAAGTGAATGTAGTATATTAGTTTGTAATGAAATTAAATTTTGAATAGGCGACATGGACTTTAAAATATAATTAAATCGTAACGAAACGCATTAAAAATCAACAAACCTAGTGCTTTCCTATGTAAGGTATGCAATGATTTCACTGTACACTATGTTTGCGGTAGCATTTGTGGTCTTTGAATTATCTATTTCATCATAGATAAGCATTTTGATGGAGGCAGCATTTTTGGCCCGCGACATTGCAACGTATAGTTGTCCATGACAGAAGACTGGTCGCCTAAGAAAGATTCCTGCGAATTCGAGTGTCTGACCCTGTGATTTATTTATTGTCATTGCAAAGCAGAGTTTGACGGGAAATTGAGTTCTCTTAAATGGGATTGCGCAACGTTCATCTCTAGACATCTCAAGTGGAATTTTTGGTATGAAGACATGCTTTCCCTTATATTCACCAAAAGCAATGAAACAACTTAACAGATGATCATGAAATGCATCACAAATTAAGCGTGTTCCATTACATAGGCCTCCACACGGGTTTAGGTTGCGTAGAAGAATTACTAGACAATTATTTTTTAGAAGTAATGTGTGGGGTGGTAGACCTGGAAATGATAACGTGTGCAACAAATCTTGGCAATTTTTGTATTTCTCATCTAGTGGTACGTCATAGCTCAACAAGGTTTTTGATTCTCCAGGGTATTTTCCAATTATGATCGTGTTGATTTCATCGACGTACTCATTTGTAGTAGTTAATATTATTCTCCCCATCAACGTATATGGATCCTCTTGAAAGAGGTTCAAGTTTGGGTAAACAGCTGTGATCAGGGACGATAACAAATCTGAACTGTCGGGGCTACGGACAAGGAATTGTTGTGGGATTTTGATGTTTGTACCACTTATAGTTGGCGCTGACCCATTTCCGATGTCCATTAAATACTCACAAAAAGAGGGATCTGCTTGCGCCCGAACATTTTCTTCTAAAGTTAGGTGTATCATCTTTGGTCAAATATGAGATGATTTTACGATACAGGCATTTATACAGTCTTGTCTGTTTCCATTCCTGACAACAGGAAGTGTCTGACGTAGATATCCTCCGAAAACAATGACTTTTCCTCCGAATAGATCATCGGAGGACATAATATCTCTAAGTGTTAAATCCAATGCCTCTATAATTCCGCGATTAGCCATTGTAATTTCATCCCATATGATGATTCTTGCTTCTTTAAGTAATGTTGCTATTGCACTTTGCTTACCGATGTTGCAGGTGTATCTATCATTTCCATCCAACGGTAATTTAAACCTAGAATGTGCCGTGCGGCCTCCAGGAAGAATAGAAGCAGCAATGCCTGATGTTGCAGTAGCTAAAGCTATCCATTTTTTGCTCCGAATCTGAGCGCATTGAAGGTCTTGCTCGCTTATATTTATGTTGTATTCTGCTCTTAATTCTCGTGTCTGAATTTCAGCAACTGTTAAGGGTATGGCAGATTCTGTTAGGTTGAATGTGAGAATACTTTTTCCAAGTGCTTCAGTACTATCTCCAATAAGTTTTAGTGTCATTGTTTCCATTTCCAATGGAGTGTAGATGTGTACCTGCGTAAAATCTTCATATAGATACGTTTTGTATTTAGCCCATAACTCTCTTGGATTTGGAATGTCACAAAACACCAATAATGTCGCGAATAATCTCCGCAAACTACTGGGCATTTGATACATCACAGCCTCTTCAAGGCAAACATCAGCAGTAGCATTTTCCGTTAGAAGCCCCATTCTCTCTGCACCTTCTCGGAATGTGGATGCTGTATAACCATCCACAAGTTTTAGACTGGCAAACGATGTTGGAGCTCTTACATGTTGGAGTAGCATGCGAAGCTAATATCTTTCACCCTCAATTGGATTAACACTCACAAGGCGTCCTATGACGTTTTTTCGCTTTCGTAGCGTCCACATCTTGTTTGTGTCTGACCAAACAAAAAACTCTGGGAATTGTATATAAAGAAGTTGGAGTCTTTTTGCAGTCACATCGTGTAGGTTCATTTCAAAGAATTTTGTCAACATTGTGTTTGACCTGTTGTCATCCTTCACTATTTTTGTGATTCTTTGATTTCCGAAGAAGTTGATATACTGAAAGTTTTCCAGGTGTACTTGCAATTGTTGAACGGGGGGATACATCTCGGCAATGGTGAAGGCAAATATTCTGCATGCCGCCTCCGGTGCCGAAACCCATCTTGCATTTTGATAAGATGTTATCTCGTCACTGGAAGGAGCATTTTGATCATTTGTGATTCCAATTGAAATTCTATCATGCCCTTTGTAAACATATTTATATATGTACTTCACAGATCTAACTGAAGCACAGATCTCAACATTAATGTGGCAATCAAATTTCAACAAAAGTTGTGGATTATATGGTACCACCCAGGAGTTATCAAGTTTGTAGCCACGTATTTCTACGGAATTAGTGCCGCTTCTCCTACGGTAGACTGGGAATGAATCTTCACCAAATGATGTTTCCTCAATTAAAGATCTGGGGTACTTGTTTCTACAGAAGGCTGTTACCTGTCCTTTTTTTCGTCATACATGGGCAGCTTTGATTAAGGGTGCCACAAGGTCCATGTATCATGTGTTTCTTAACAAGTGTATATAGACGTGGTTGATGTAGAGGGTCGGGTATTTCCGCACAAACAAACTTGTCACATGAATTGGGACTTTGAATTTTTGCAGGAACTTTTAAGATTATAAGAAAATGTGCATGGGGAAGGCCACGCTTTTGAAATTCAATTACGTATATGTATGCTGCAACTTCCCCAAAAAATTTCTTTTTGATTATGTCATTTTTGAATTCCTGTAAACGTGCATGAAAGACTCTACATACAAGATCCGGTCTATTTTGCGCCTCATCTTTGTGTTGGAGATGTTCTTTGATTTCAGGCTAATTAGGATTACACGTCATTGTGACAAATAAATCTGGTTTCCCATATTGCTGAACAATTGCCATTGCGTCTAGGTAACGTTTACGCATATCCCGAGGTCCACCTATGAATGAAGCAGGTAGAACAACACGTTGGCCAACAACATCACCGTATACCATACCCATATGCATGCTATCAACAACGCCTTGATATGTTTCAGATCTGAGGTCAAGCTGTTTTAGTCTATAATAATCCAACCGTTGGGTATCAATCTTAACATACACATCAACCATAAACTGTTGTAAAAGCCTTCCGGTGTGTAATAAGTAGCTGGAATCATCATGGCGTATCTGGATATTATAAGCGTAATATTCCCTGCATGAAACAGTTTTTCTCTTTCTCCCACTTTGAATATTTTCTTCTTCGATTTGAATTATCTCCTCAGCAGTATGTGCAACATTAAGACCTGGCATAACAGAGGGTATTTGTGTGTTTCGTGCTAAATGTCGTTGTGATTCTGATAACACCCTATCAATCCCTGTATGCCAACCTACTTCCCCATGAGGGAACAATAGTGGATATTGTAATGGATAATAACATCCGTAAAAATATTGTATATTCTGTGATCTACCACTATGAGCATAAACACGAATGTGTTTGCTTTGTGGAGTTTCTGTGTTGTTATCCTCCACCCATATTGCAGCAACTTGTGAGGCAGTAGGAGTATTATAAATTCGTTGGTCTAGACCTGGATGGTTGTGTAGCTTAATGCTAAATTCTGCATCATTACATATGTCTTTCAGACTCTTAAAAAATTGAGCGTATGGGTTGTCTGAAATCACTTCAACAAGAGCAGTTACAATCTCTTTATCTAATCTATCCAATGTCTGCACTCTACCCTCAACTTGGTGATCAGTATCAAAAAAATATAGTTGTAAATTTCGAGGTGGAGATCCATTTGGAAGCAAGTCGTTCACAAAGTGATGTATTTGTCCTTGAACCTTAAAGGTGTAAATTCCTTTATTCCTTCTGCATAGATCTTTGTCATAATTATATATACCAATGGAAGTGAACGCAAACGTGTTGTTGTACGTACGGACAAGAGATTGAAATTGTTTTCCTTTGACATCATTGGCGATATATAAGTCTCTAAGAGTAGGAGGCATCTGTGTTGATGAAAGAACGACCTCACCCCGACAACAGCAAAACCCCAAAGGTTCAAACTGGATGCGGCTTGCCCCACAAAAAATACAGTCTAATACCCTCTTTAAAGAGAAAATCGTATCTTGGTATGCAAACTTCTTCATTGATTCTATAAGAATATGATGTATAGTTGTAGGTGGAATGGTGACATCATTATAGCATTTGAAAGAGAGAGTCGAGTTGGGAGAAACATGAAGAAATTAGCAAATTTGGCCGAAGGTAAAGAAAGGGATAAATAAATTATAAATGATAAAGGAGTTAAATGCTACACCTTGAGTGGAAGAGGAGGAATTTGAAGCGAGGTTTTTTTCCCTTTCACGTAACTCACGATATCTAAGACGACGCCTAAAGTTTATTTGCTCACGCCGATCACTCTCAGATGCTGGCTGAGTTGATGACACTCCAGTTTCCATTTAATCTTTGAGGAGTAACAAGCAAACGTAGGAGTAATGAATGGGTTGAGAGTACATACACCAATGTTTATGTTGTTAAGAGTAGTAAACATTCTATTGAAAAACAGATATTAATATATGTTAAATGCATTTAAACACACGAAGGAAGTCTACGAAGGAAGTCTAAGCATAAGTTGAACAAATTAACACGGGGAAAGTGAGGACTTAGATTAATTTTAAAATAATTTTATACTTCAGCATAGATAAATGATTTTAAGCATACATTAAAAGTGTGTAAACATACCAAAGAAGTAGAAGCGTAATTTGAAGAGGTGAAGAAAGAGCCCAGACAGTATATAAGTGACCTGTATTCAATATTAAGAGGTAAAATAAGTTAATTCTTGTACAGATAAAAATCAAAGAAGTATACCTCAACATACATAAATAGTTTGACTTGAAATCAATTTTTTTCTACCAATAACTCAAAAGTTAACATTTGTGTATACTTGCTCTAGCAAATGGAATGCAAATGATTTTCCTTGCCAGGGTAATTTATGAACGAATCTGTCCTGCCTAAAACTTGAAATACTGCTCTAGTATTTAATTTCTAATTTGTAGTTAAAGGGTACCTCTCCTCTAATTTCAAATTTCTAATATGTCCTTACATTCATTTATTTTGAAATTCCTAAAACATGAAATCTGCTCTAGTATTTAATTTCTAATTTGTAGTTTAAGGGTACCTCTCCTCTAATTTCTAATTTCTAATCTGTCCTTACATTCATTTATTTTGAAATGAATGTAAACTTATCAAGCATACAACCTTTTTCTTAAAAGGAAGTGATGATATAATTTTGAGACATAGAAAAAAAAATGGGAAGCTAATTTGGAGTTATGGATTACTCAGGTTTTTTTTCACCTTTTCTGTAAGAGTTTATGCTCAATGTCCTTTAACAGGAAATGTGGTTATACATATCAGAGCAAGAGAAAAGCACTCATTTGACACGGAATTCAGTGGTTCCAACTGGACTTGTTCTAGGGGATTGAATTATATAAAGTGCATGAAAGGGCTGATTCATTATGAAGGAATAAGAACTACAAAATTTGTCTTTCTTTTCCTTCCTTGCAATATCTAGAGTAATTTCAATTTCTAAATATACATATTTAATTTGTTCAGTCAGATGGGTAATAAAAGAAGGTTTTTAATCAATTCATAATTATACGGTTACAGTGCAATAATTTACAGGGAAGGTACTGTAATCGATTCATAAAAGAAGGACAAAGGTACTGTAAATTCATATGGTTAGAGTGTAAGAATTAAGAATTTACACTGCAAGAATTTACTGTGAAAACCGTAACTCAAAACGGAAAAGAATTTACAAACAAAGTTGCGGGGTAGTTTGGAAATCACAGTTCCAAGTAATGTTTTTCCTTTCCTCCTTATATTAGTATATTACTTCAGTTTCTTCTAGACAGAATATAATAGTGTAATGTTCTTCCTTTGCT